TTCTAGGCTTCTTCCTGCTCAGGATAACAGGCTAATGCTACTGTTGGTGACAAACACAATATTGCAAGCTGATCTTTAACAGCATATTAGCTGCCTAACATTTAAAGTTAGCATTAAATTGGACCCTATTCTGTTTGTTCACACTTTACTAAAGTTAAGTGCGAATGCTGAAATACTGAAGATGAAGTTAACATTTCACTATCCGTGTGGCTTTCTTACAGATACGACTATAGATTTTTTACCTGCACCTTTTTTTAAACAGTTACAGTTACAGTGGCCTACTGTTTACTTTATTATTCTGAGCAAAAGGGAGTTCAGTTTACCGTACAAGTAGGCTTACTTGCTTTTGTACTTTTCTGGCAGAAAAATAAGCGACCCTACTCTCTTTCCACTGGCTAACCAGAAAAAGCAAATACTTTTAAAAACGGACATAAAAAAAGCTACATTTTGCACCATCACAAAATCCCCTGTTAAAACAAAGCCACGGTGTCTACCTCTTACAAAACATCTAAATTTAACCCCATGACAGAGGCAATCGATACAATTCTAACACAGTTCTGCAATCACACGGTGTTTGCGCAGCCCAAACAAAGACATGAGTTATAGCCTTTGCAGGATGGGCGATGTAGAACAGGTGCCAAGACAACAGAGCAGTGCCAGGATGGGTGGCCGAGGGACTGGGGAGCGGGAAGGCCAGGGAGGTTGGAGGTGCATGTTAATCACTTCAGGAGCAGGAGGCAGAGCTCTGCAGGTGTCTGTCCCACAAAGAACCATTCACTCTGGCTCCGGACTGGCTTTCCCCTGACCACTCGCTATCACAAACCGCTTCAGTCAGCTCACAACAGCCACATGATCCAACAGAGCAGAAGAACTCGGAATCACAATCATTTTAGTCTCCATTTGCACTGAACACGCAGGAACAAGCCTGTGAGTGTCACTTGAAATAATTCATGTGCACTATAATACCTTTGCTGATAATTAACAATCACTAGTACGTGACCCAGTCAAGAAATACTGCATACATTTTGAAAACAACTTCATCCAATAAGCACTCAAGGGTGAAGCATATCATTTACAATCGTCCTCTGTGTAGGCCTAATAATGCTACTGCTCTATAATTCCTTATAATTCCCACGCACACTAATGAAATGCTACACTGACCATGAAACTATAATGAGGTATGTAGGTATAAGGCTAATATGATTAACATAACATTGGCTCTCAATGTAGAGTGGTAATATACGTATGTGCATATGCAAAGGGTAATTTCTTCTCTATTGTTAGAGCTGAAACTGCACACTTGTAAAAAAAAATAAAGGTAGGCTCTAAAAACCTTATCATTTTAAAATGACAAAAAGAAAATTGCAATTAGGGCTCTCGACAACTGATGCAGAGAGAACATTCCCCTGCTGCTACTGTTGGGGAGCTTTATGGTGTGATTAAAATGGCTGGCTTAGTCCAGTAACAAATACTTGGGTGAAAAAGTAAAATAAAACAGCCAAAGGGGTTGGGAAGACAGTTTCTCTGGTGTGGTAAATTAGCATCTGGAAATGATCCATCTCAAGTATCAGCTGGCCTTTTTGTTCAGACAAAAATCTGCGAGGAAATGTATAGAATTAAAAAAAAAAATTCCTTGATTTGTTTGTTGTTGTTATTGTTTTAGTGGATTCGTCTTTTATTTAAAGGCAGTAATAAATGTTGTCACTCAACATGCCCTACTGAAAATTCAGCATTACATGATATGATCCAGCCTATAGAGACTCTGTTAGGAATACTCATTGTCTGCATATACTTAATCTGTGGAGGTTTTTGCCTTAAAATACCCATGGTCTATTGCAGTGCATTGCAACTGTTATTGCAGTGTGTTGCAAAACCAATTAATGCATGGAGACTTCTTTTTTCCTCTGCTAGTTCTTTTTCAAGTGCCAAGACGACTTCTGATGTAAATAACAATACAAAATATTGGCCATACTAGCTGTTTTGACAAGAAATGTCTCAGCCATCAGAAACACTTAAACACCCAAGACCTTTATGTCACATAAAACAGCCTTCTTGCTATGTTTTTTTCCTGCCAACTTCGTTGTCCCTGGAAACATTTCACACAAGCGTGGGAGCACAAGGTCAGTCTGCAGCCCTTATGGAGCAGATACTGTCTTGTCTTGTATCTGTTGCCTACCATGAGGCCAACACACAGAAATAAACACCAGTGGCAGCAGACAACTCCTCCATCTCTTCCACTAGCAGAGTGATTTCATTTTAAATAGATTATACAAATGTTTTTGCAATGGCTGCATAGAAGCAGAGAAATAGATTTCTGACTAATACATTGCTAAAAAAGGTATGGTGAAACAGGTGGTTTAGCAGCATTTCAATCATAATCTTGTTCTATGACTCACTGTCGCAGGAGCACTAAGACATGATTATCCCTCTGTGATACACTTGTGACCCACCTGTCCAAGGTGTAGTTATTTAGCCCAGTGTATGCAGGGATAGGCTCCAGCTCCCCCACAATTTTGAACAGTATCGGCAATATAGAAAATGAATGTATCGAAAGCCTGGTTTTCAGAGCAGAGAATCCTACTCAGACAGTGACATGGCAAGTTAGTTCCTGCAGACATGAGACAAGGACAGGATCTGACAGTAACCAGCTTCTACATTTATATCCAAATTGCCAACATGCTCCAGGGCTGACAGTAAGGAATACTACATCTTCTTCAGGCACCGCACTTCCTAATAAATTGGTGCATTAGAGCATGAACTGCTCTTGAGATTAAAACTGACCTCAGGTCTTGTCAAGTCCATTAGAAAAATGACATTTTAACCTTTAAGATCTTCAAGTGGTGATATAAGAATTGGTTCCTTCAACAAAAAGTCTAGTTCAAAGAAACAGCAGATCAGCTGGGGTCCGATCTGCTGGGTAAAAAAAGCGATATAATGATTCTCCACAATATGCAGCTATGTTTTGTTGGTCATTAATTCGTTTTTTAACTGGTCATTATGGTAGTGAATTTTAACACTTTTTTTTGCCTGAGGAAAAACTGAATATATAATAGAGGACAAAACAAAGTTGTTATATTTGGTCGGCATACAGGAAAGCGTGATAACTTAAGCAGGAAACAGACAAACCAATTTTTTTTCACATTAGCATTCATGAGAAGTCTTCTTGTTTACCACCGGTTATGGAGCATTTTTCAGTCTTCAGCACAGTCACAGGTGGTGTGGAAATTCTCATCCTGTCCAGAGACTGCTCCGTGTTTGAGTTGCAAATATTTTGTGTTCTGAATGAGCTGCTACCTGATTACCAATGAGCCCCAAATGTATTCTGTGAAAGTGAAGATGTGCTGACATAGTAGCATCTGAGGAGACCTTTGCGAGTGTGATCGTTGTACACATACAGGCCTCCCATACAAAACAGAACTGCTGAAAAATAGCTTTTGCAGCAATCATTTCCCTTACAAAAAAAAAAAACAAAACTGTTAACATAGTGCACATATAGTGAGAAGGTCCTTGAGTGAGTTGGCAGGCGAAATCTGGAGCACCTGGCCTCAGCGCTCACTACCATGTAGCCCCCAGTGATCTGTGTCTCTTTTCCTGCACCTGCAACCCTTTTTCTAGTTTTGCTTAGCTGTTTGTTCCATACTTCACAACACCCCACACTACACTGTCCACACACAGTTGTGCTATACTGCTGACTAACCTTGTATGTTCATTTTATATAAAAATGATTCAAACTTTGGCATTGCATTTCCAGTTTACCGTTTGCCATGGTCCTACAGGCAGGAGTATGACAATGTGTGAACAATATGTGAATAAGAGACATTATGAAGTACAACCATGCGGCTGTCGTTAATGTCTTAAATGATGGCGATGGGTGAACCTGCTATATGCACTGACCAAAATATATGGACCAACATAGCCTGTTGGGTTTCTTAAATCTGCAAATCACACAGATCTCTTTTAACAATCTATCCTTATTTATTAAAAATAATATATTATCTTATTAAGGGCATTAAGGTTATATATTAGAGATGGGCTATTGCAATATGTGCACCTTTCCCACTCTAAGAGTATTTTCCCCACAAGCAGTGCTACATTAAACCCGACCAAAACCAGAAGCTTCTTACAGCAGGGTGTGTGTTCAGTATTTCAAAGGTTTCGTGTGGAGGACATTCAAACTCAAGAATAAGCCAATGCAAATTAACTGCACATGCTCACAATTAATTGCTATAATTGCATCCAAGCACATCCTGAGGCCATTAGTGCTAGCTGGGTGTGAAAAAGCTGACCAGCACCAATCAAAGTCTACTAAGAACTTCATTTGAGGCTCCGTAATGGCCTGAGCTCAGGTCGTTGTTTTGAAGCGTTCAGTCATTCTGCCGGCTGCTGCTCGCATGGGACATTGAATACAGCACTATTAACCCAACAACACCGTCAGTCCGGCCCCTGACAGACTGCCGCCCCTTCTCCAAATAAGGTAATTAGAGGAGAGAAACCGGAAGACTCTCCATGGTAACTCACTCACAAACAGGAGGGGCAAAACAATGGACTAGTGAGGATGAGATGATTGACAGCTCGTTGCGGGCTCGCGCTCGCCTTTGACTGCATCCATTAGCGATAAGAGCTTACAACAACACACCAACACACAGAATAAATTACGTTTTATACACGAATTTGATACAATAAGCTATTCAGCAGCATAACATCTAGCTCCCTTTGTCGTACCACATCAAAAAAAAAACACCGACTATTTCACAAAAGCATGATAAATCTTTTCAAACACACCGGGTCCGTGTACCCTAATCAATACTCCTCATCTGAGCACCCGCTCGTTCATCCGTGAAGCAGCCCACGGTTTATTTTCAGCTTTTCCTATGTCAGTTTACATTCTTATTACACTACTGTTATAACATTGTTGTCACACCCTCCTCCTGAGTTGTAACGGCACAGGCTAAAACTTGGCGTTGCAAGGTAATCACCACACGTATCTGCGTTGACGTTACCTCAGTTTCTGTTGTTCATCCTCGTTCCCGAAGAGAAGAGACTCCCCCGTGTGATGTGCTGTAGTCCGAGCCTCGGCTGAATGAACGTTATTGTGCCTGCAACTTGGCTGCTGCAGGGGTAACGTTACTACTGTTACAACCGTCCAAATCTCAAATTGTAGTGGTCAGGTAGCTGCTCGCGCGTCCCTTCAGTCACGCGCGCGCACGTAAAAAAAACCCCGAAGTGTCCTAACTGATCTAAAAGTTGTTTCTTGTCCTCGAAGCGACTGTCGTTGGTTGTTAATTATTAGTAACTGCGCCGCTGCTTTGTATGAAAAGGCAGAGCAGCCTCTGTCCCTCTCATCCGCACCAGTGCTGGATGCTGTCGGTCACAGCAAGTGTCTCCGCCCCATCACCACGCGCACTGTACTGGAGGACAATCACTGATTGATTTTTTTATTGTTGTTGTTGTTGTTGTTGATCATTTTATCTAGAAATTAACAATCAAGGAATGTATTCTTATTATCACTTTAAATTGTTCTCATATGGTTAATACTCAGTGCTATAATTACATCCAAAAAGTATCCTGTTAACTCGCCCATTAAATGCCACAAAACACAGAATATCAGTCCCTCGTATGTCTCAATTATATCTTATATTATTTTATTTCATCATCTCGTCCGTACTTTGTTTCCCCTGATTCGGCACATCTATTGTTATAATAATTTACTGGTACTGTGGCATCGTCAAGTCAGCACAAATACAAAGAAAATCTCTAGTGAATATTTTTTTCAAAGTAAACGTTTTCAAAGCGACACACTGTAAAACATAGATTATACAGTGCAATATGTCTAGATCCTTGCAGAAGAAATAATTGGTTTGGTTTTACATTTTAAAACAGTCTACAAGCGTCAGAGTACTGTGCTATGTGTTTAACATTGGAGTAATCTATCTATCTATCTATCTATCTTCTCCCTCTATCTATCTCTCTATCTATCTATCCCTAATAATGTTTTGCGCGCTCAAAATGTTGTTGCGGTCTCAACAAGCCATCCCTAAAATCCATAATGTAAGTAATTTCACCAAAACATGTTTATACGATCAATGCTTTTATTTTGAATGCAGCTATGTCCAACAGGAAACGCAATGCTTGTGAACTGACCAATTACAGCCAACTTCAGAGCTCTGTTGGAAGTGCACTCGTTTTATGTATTTACAGTGGCGGGGTGGGCGGGATTCTGGACAACGCCGAAGAATAAACCCTCGCATCCGCTGTGAAGGCTTATGAGACGACCGGAGAAACAAATCGAGGACACTCAATGTGAACACTTCCTTTTAGTTGTCAACAACGAGTGTAAAGGGACAGTGAGTACAACTAGCCGACACCACACACTCTTCAACAGTTGAAGACAGCGGACAAACATCTGCAGTTTAATGTGTGGCGCTTAACTAAGTTTAGGTAGGTAGCTAACGTCCGCCTGGTTAGTCTCTCTGCCATTGTTACGTGTGACTGTAAAATGCTAACGATAGCTAGTTTTTGCTCAGGTTACCAAGTAATGCTGAAACTAGTTTGTTGGTAGAGGCAGAACTAGTCGTATGTCATGATGTTACTTAACCAGTTTGATCTGCAAGGCGAGAGTTGTTTATACATAACATATAGCGACTATGCTATTTGGCTAGCTCATCTTGAACCAGGGCTGTAGCAACTATTAATAGCTTGTTATTAGACTGTTAACTTGCCGTCAATGTTACCTGTCTAATAAATAATATAATAGTATAACTTTTAGCTTGGTAAAGTGCTACAGTAATCTGTAGTATCAGATTATTACCCAGCACATCATTGAATGACATTGTGACTCATGGAGGAGCTTCTGAACCTATCTTACTTAATTGCTACCTTTGCACTCATTACAGTAACAAGAATCCTAAAGATAATAAATCTTCGTGATACTATTCCTAACACTTGCTATTCTGAACATGGGCCAGGTTCACAGAGGCACACACACACAGCATGCCCTCTGGATGGTCCTTTTGTTTGCCCTACAGCCATGTAAGTACTGAAATAAGTGTATGTGTTCTGATGAGTGCATCATAAAGATGTGGCACATACAAGTATTTTTCTTCCCAATACGTTCTCTATGAACACAGACAGTGAAGAAACCCTTTAGCTGCTCTTCTTAATCTGTATAATATTGCACAGTTTGAACAAACCCAGGTCATGATCTTGTTTCACAACACATGTCTTTATTTCACCGCACTCCCACACACCCATGCCAGAACTAAACACATTTCTTTTTCTTTTTTCTTGTCTTTGTCAGATATGACAACTATTTGAAGGCAGATGTGGATTGAGTGAAACCTTGTCATTAATCCCCTGACCCCCCCAGTACATCCATGTGTATAATTTTCTTCAAGTTTGACCCCCGTCCTGCATCCAAAAATGCCTACAGGTGAGCCATTAACCCGTTAAAACAAACTTTGATGCTTTTCTGTTCTCAGTGCAATGTAAGTATATTTAAGAAGCTTAATTTGGTCATCCATGCAGTACAGTAAGGGGGAATCCAAAAGAAACGACTGGCAAGGAATATGATATGTCATATATGATGTCACAACATAGATCCTGCTCCTGAATAATCATGAAATGCATCATGTGCAGAAAAATCTCAATTGCACTTATTCTATCTACAGCTGTTTGGGAAACATTGTCTCAGACTTATAAGCAGTTTTTTAACAAACAAAGGATACATATAAACATATAACATATGAAGGAGGCTAGCCAGAATTACTCAGTACACCAAAACTTGGTTCTACAAAATCCTAACCAAAAATCCTAATACCTTCAAACAAACCCTCTTCATGCACAGAGGACAGAGAGCACAGTCACACACACAGAACTGCACCCTTGGAGCTAGTAGAGCATCTGGTTTAAGGGCACTCTCCGGTAGAGCAGCCAAAGAATATTATTGAGCAACGAGTGGAAAAACACCAAGATATGGATCAAACATCATAAGCACCTTTTAAATCCTCACTTACCCACCGTGTGATACAACCTGATACAGTTGTGAGGCTATTTTTTAAAAAGATCCCCAATATGTCAGGCTGGCTCTTTGGGAAATGTGTATACAAATTATGCATGATATTTCTTTTTGATGCGGCTACAAAAGAAACCCCACAGTGCTGGAATTGAATATTTCACTCAGTTTGCATCATATAGCTTCAGTGAATTGTTGGAACATGCAGCTACAGAACATACCGACACAAATTTTAAAAATAAAAACAAATATAAGTGGAACACCCTTTCAGGTTGATAAATCACTGCCGTCAGACTCTGACAATGCTGCAAGGTTCTGCGTTTTCATCTTGTTCCAGTGTGCCACTGAGCAGAGGTGCAAACACACAAATGGTGGTAAAGTAATAAGGGAGTTAAGGAAAGAGGATCTGTTGTTTTATCATGTATTTTCTAAACATGTGGAACTAAGGGACATCAGATTTTGGAGGTGTCAGTCTTTGCCACGGCCCAAGTGTTCATGGGATGACATGTATAGCCCTCTATATTGGGCACATAATGAAGTTAGACATGATACTTACGAAAATACATCACATCTCTTGCTAAAATCTACCATTTTAAAGTGCTAAGTGAATCTTTGTGCAACCTCCATGTGCCCTGCCCAGCAGTAAACGCTCTTTCAGTGGACCGCACAGACTAGTGCAGTATGAGCAGTCAGTGTGAGTTACAGGGGCGATGTCGGGTCCAGCTTATTATAATTCCCCTGAGCTAGAGAGTGAGCTCTCTACCTGGCCATGGTCCATCTCTGTCCTTCCCTCTGGGAGTCTGACCCCGCCTAAGGAGATCACAGCAGAGGTGTGGTATGAGTACTGACTCAGACCTGAACCTGGGGAAAGGTGAAACGTACTGTGTCCTAATGTGGTTACATCAGTACTATATATAGACTGCTAGTTTCAGAAGTAGTTCTGTTATGCTGCAGTGATGTGTAAATCAAAAAGAATGTGCCGCACATACTTGGACTAAATTGGGTTGAAGGCAAGATTAAAGTTTCATTAAGTACAATTATTACACTCCCACAGCACAAAATGGCAGAATTGTACCTGCGGGGGTTAAATGGGTTCATGTTGTTCAGCACAAATGACTCAGTGATTACCCACATGCTGAGATTTCTGGATTTCAAAACTCAATTTTCTAGCCTGCAATGTTTTTTTTATTTATTATTTTGACTTTTTCTGCTGCTCAGAATAAAAGTAGTGCTGCAATCAACCATCCAGCTCTGTAATATGAACTTGACCTGTAATTGTAGCACTTCCTTTAGGCTAGTCAGTGTCATTTAAACACCAACACCTCGAATTGCAGTCCCTAGAGTCCCCCAAAAAACAAAGGTAATGGATTAAAGAAATACACTGAAAGTTTTTCCATAGAGCTGAGGATAAAATTGTTTATCCCCTTAGCAGTATGATGTCACTCGAGGCAAACTGCCAGTTAAATTTTGATATGTGCTGTAAGCAAGTTGACATTTTGCCCCAACGCTGGCTTAAGAGAAAAGCCTATGGAGTGTCAAAAGCCTAAAACACTGATCTTCTTGATAGCATGAATTTTCTTATTGTATATCATGGCAGCCTGCCAATTACATATTAACACTTTTAGTCACATTAGCAGCGTGGCTCCAGGGAGAGCATTGTCAGTTGGTCAGGCCGCCACTTTGGTCCAGACTAGGGCTGCACAATATGGTAAAAAAAAGAATCATTGATCAATCATGATGATGTTACATTCTTTGGGTCTGTACCTGTTCTTAAATCTGGAGAACAAGATTTGTAAACCAGGACTGCACTGCAGTAGCATGTCTTAACTTGGGATGGATTGCCATGAAATTGTGTACAGATATCCAGAGGATGAATCCTAATGATTTTGAGGACCCTTAACTTTTATTGTAGTGCTGCAAGCATGTTAAAGTTTTCGCTTTCAAGAACCATCTGGGAAGTCGTTGTTGGAAACAGTTTGGAAAGGGGCACGCTCTTTAAAAAAATACTCGGCAGGGAATTGGATGAACCACCTCTCTATCACGGGGAAACTTCAACCAATCAGATCAATGAACCAAATACCATAATCAAACTCTTACTAAAGTCGGAAGAACAGGAAAGAAACATTGAGAAAAGCCTTCACTTCTTTCAATTAAGAAATACTCTCCAGTTCTGATATAACTGATGCTAGCAGCATCTACGCTAGCCTCTATGGGAGCCAACAATTTTGTGTTTTCTCACTGTGTACCTAGCGCACACCACCTTGGCTGCCAGTTCTTTCTCAAAGGATGCTGATTGGTCCAGTACCACTGTAGTTGGACCACAAACACAATGATTGAAGTCTGGCAAGATGGATTCTCTCATGATTTTGTCGAG